TGTGTGTGTGTGTGTGTGTGTGTGTGTGTGTGTGTGTGTGTGTGTGTGTGTGTGTACATGTTAGACATCTTTGTGAGGAAAGAAAATTGGCATGCTACGATACTTGTGGGGACCAACAGTCACTGATGGGGACAAAATGTCGTCCCCACGGGTTTGAGACATTTTTGAGGCTCAAAATGTGATTTTAGTGTCAGGGTTACAATTAGGTTATGGTTAGGTTTAGGGTAAGGGTTAGGGTTAGCCATTCATTTTTATCGGTTAGGTTTGGGGTAAGCGGATAGGGAAAGCAGCATGTCAATGAGATGCCCTCACTAAGATATGAAAATGTGTGTGTGCGCGCCTGTGTTTGTATGTGTGTGTGTGTGTGTGTGTGTGTGTGTGTGTGTGTGTCCGCTTGTTATGTCTGGAGCTTAAAACTAAAACTACACTCCATGTCTGTTTGCACTTGTAAGAGTTCAACCCTATGCATTGTTTTGGTGCTGTCTTTCATCCTCCCACAACCTAAAAGTCAGTTTGACCCCAAACATCTCTGAATTAAAACTGACTTTGATGCTTCAAAGAAAACTGGCCTTAATAACCTGTTACTACAGAATGGTGGAGTCATGGTAGACCCTTCTAGGCTGGCCTGGAGACACTATCAGCAGCAGAGTAGAAAAAGAGCAGAACACGATGCTGGTCTTTTATTGTGTTGATGTTTAGTAATGCTCTTGTTTTGAAAAATAAAATAATTCATCTGAAGTATACTAAATGAAAAATCAAAGTGCTTTCTGTTAATAGTCTCATTCACCCAACTCAACCCCATTAACCATCCCTAAATACAGTCACTTCTTTCATCTGTACCAAAACCCTTTATCTAACTTTCACACGCATTCACACTTTTGCCTGAGGACACTTCAACACATGCACAGGAGGAACCAGAGAAAGGAGGACCTTCTAAGCTAATGTGGAAGAGCAGGTTGTCACACTTACAATGGTGGGACAAAGACATGGTGCACACACCAGACAGAATCACAGCCATTTGTGTCTCTTGCAAGGAGGAGGGTGTTCCCGTTAGTGCTCCGCCCACTGATGCTCCAGAGGAGTTTGAGGACTTTTCTCCTCACACGGGTCCAACAGAAGCCCGAGTGGACCTGATGACAGGTCTGTAGCACAAAGTTTTGTTCCTGTTTATTCTATGAAAGCTTCAGTATTTGAATTATGAACTAAACCTTTATCATATTTACTTTTCTAAATGTCCTCTCTCTATGATAATGTAAGCATACGCTGTCTGAAGTAAAACTGATAGACGTCATATGCTGTTTGCAGGGCTACACCGAACAGAGGAGGCGGGAGAGCAGCCACAGGGTGTAAGTTGGAGCGTGGGCTTTCTTGCCTAGTTGTCTTATTTTGAAGACAGTGTTGGTCAGAAGATAACAAATGTAGCTCCAGTGTTTCAGTTTATTTTCCCTACAGACACAAATAACTTAAAGACTTCTTGATTTCAATTTTAAAGGGTGATGTCAGGCTAAAAGGAGAGCGCGGTGATCCTGGCCCGCCTGGCCCACCTGGTCCACCAGGTCCTCCCAGTGTATTCAGAGAGACTAAGCTTGGAACATCTGGCCCACAGGGACCACCAGGATCTCCTGGGCTGCCAGGAAAAGATGGACACAAGGTTTGTGTGTCAAAAAGAGGGTTTGTGTGTTTTTCCTTCACCATCTTTCGAAGAACATCGGAGATTTTTTAAGTGAACTTTAAACCCACGAAGTGATAAGTCTTCTTGCACCACTGACTCTCATGCTTCCTCGTGCTTCTGCTTTCAGGGAAGCAGAGGCGATAAAGGAGGTCCAGTAAGTTAAACAGCACTATGTCTGCTCGTTTGTTTTTTTCTGTTTCAGTTGCTACGCTCACTAATTATATTTTCATCGTCAGGGCCAAAAAGGGTCTCAAGGATTTCCAGGCTTGAACGGAGAAGTTGGAGCTAAAGGAGAGAAGGTCCAGCTAATGCATCCATGTTGCATTTAATTAACTGTTACTCTTTATTCCAAATGTAGTTTTATTTTATGATACCAAATGAAAAGAAAAAGTTCTGCCTTTTTCTTCTGTACTTTACTCCTCCCTGCCTCCTTACAGGGAGACCCGGGAGTTGGTTTACCAGGCCCCCCTGGCCTTCCTGGACCCCCTGGACCCCCCAGATCACGCAGTGTACCTGTGAGTAACAGTTTATGGTTTCGCTACTTCCTCCCAATATGTGTCTGCTCAGTATTGTCTTGCATTTTAGCAATGATATCAAATGTAGGCAGCATAAACGAGACATGAATACAAAGAAAAGCATCTTGATGAATGTGTTTTAGTATGGACCAGATGCCCTGGGTTCTGGGTTTGAAGACCTGGACAGCGATGCAGACCTCATCCAGGTAAGAGAAAGGACTAGTTAACAGATGCAAGAGTCTGACAGTCAATTATGGCAGTGAAAAAAAATCTAACATCTCCTTCCATTAGGGTCCTCCTGGTCCACCGGGCCCTCCAGGACCTCCTGGTCCCCCTGGACCCCACCTGTCCTCATCTGCCACCACTGAAGGACTTTCTCCTGGGCATGCTGGACCACCTGGTGCACCTGGCAGTGATGGCCTTCAAGGCAAACAAGGAGTACCAGTAAGTTAACCTTTAATTTGAGTGAAAAATAGATGATTTGTTTTAAATACAAAAATCTATGAAATACAGGGAGTGCAGAATTATTAGGCAAATGAGTATTTTGTCCACATCATCCTCTTCATGCATGTTGTCTTACTCCAAGCTGCATAGGCTGGAAAGCCTACTACCAATTAAGCATATTAGGTGATGTGCATCTCTGTAATGAGAAGGGGTGTGGTCTAATGACATCAACACCCTATATCAGGTGTGCATAA